TTATCGTGCTTACAGACAGACAGACAGACAAACAGACAGACGCGAAACTTTTTGATCATCACTGGAGTAATAGGCTTCGCTATCGCTCAGCCAATTATCAGACCCCATATAAAAGTTGTTCATATGTCCTCAAGGTACATTTCATTAAACAATAGGCTCAACTGAGTGCATGAGGAAAGGGTAGAGGGTAGGTTGAATCTTCTGAAGGTAGCAATAGTGGGACCAATGAACAGGCCTGAACGATGTAGACGCATCGAGGGAAGGGAATAATGGTTAAGCAAAGAATCAAATTGAAGAATCAAAAGTTACTTTTACATGAAAATTTAAGGGGGCAGACCTGTGAAATACAGGGTTCCGGCCGTTCCGGCAAAACGTTATTTATGGTAGAACGGATCATCGCAGCGATTTAGTGACGGAGGCTCTTATCAACCATAAAGTGATCCTCAGAATGCCGTTCGTGAAGTTTCGCCCTTCTTCAGGACCACAGCTGTCTTGTCCTCAAACTGGAGCGATACACCGTTTTACGGTGAGCGCGATTGCACCGCAACGGATAGGTCACGTCAGTCATAAAAATAGTTTTATTTTTGTAAGACATGCAGATTTCGTTTGACGAGAGGGTTTTGGATAGACTTTCAGGGTCCCGACCAGGCCGTTTTGACTCAACTTAGGGAACCCGCATTACACAATCAGTTTTCCTCTATTTCCACGCTTCAAATCGAGGTTCCGAAGGTTTTTTCGGGTGCAGGAAATGGTGATCACCTCGGCGAGTTATGTGGAAAGCATTTCGAGATGTGATCCAACTGCTTCCACTCAAACAAGGCCTTAAAAAAGGAATAAATTTCCATATCATAGCAAAATACCTGTAAAATGTTTAAATTACGGATCTTAGAGCCATAATGGAAAGGAATTCGGTCCAAATCATACCCACCACTCCCACCCCTACTTGCTTCCACCTTCCCACCCAAACCCCACCCCTTCCACCCAAGCAATGAAGTAGGTCCGTCAAAGACATAAAATAACATCCTTCATTGATCAGCGCGACGAGTTGCAGCTCTTTGCTCACCCAGAATGTAACGTGAATACATCGCTGATTCACAAACCAGGACTCACGACGAGGACTTAGCTGCAGGACGACTATCCCCCCCCCCCCCCCCCCCCCCCCCCCCCCCCGCCTGGCAAAGGCAAGAAGAGGTGGGGGAAGTGGGTATGATTTGGACCGAATTCCTTTCCATTATGGCCTTAGAAACGTAATTTATACATTTAACATGTATTTTGCCAAAATATGTGAATTTGTTACTTTTTGGAGGCCTAGGTTGAGCGGAAGCAGTAGGATCACAGCTCGAAATGCTTTCCACATGACTCGCCGAAGGGATCACCATTTACTGCACCCGAAAAAACCTTCAAGACCTCGATTTGAAGCGTGGAAATAGAGGAAAACTGATTGTGTAATGTGGGTTGCCTAAGCTGAGCGAGCCTTTCTCGACGGAAGGTATCGATAAGTGGTGTGATATTGGACTGGACAAACCTACTCTGCAAAGCACAAGCATGCCATTATGCCAAAAGAATTTTCTTGCTCATAGTGACATTATGACATATATAACATTGAACACTGTTAAAAAAAGGTCAGAACTTCACGAAGAACTCTACGTAAAAAATATTTCCAAAACTCTTTGTTAAATTTTTAAGGATATAACGACATTAATTCGTAAACAATGGGCTAGAAAGAATCTTTGTGAATTGACAACAAACAGTCGGTTTCAAATTTCCAGAGAACATTTCCAAATTCCCAACGAAGTATCGTTTTCTTTACATCTTAAAACTGAATGGTGTGATGTTGAAAACGTTTTGTCAACTGGGATGCAGATGCAAGAAATAATAGCCTGCTACTGTATTTGCTATTGCTGTAAATTAAACCGACCCATTAAAAATTACAATTTTTTCTAGAATTTAACGGAGACATGTTGGAGTTTCTTAATTCCGTAGATTTAATGAAGTAAAACGAAGGTTCTTTGCAGAGTGGTTACAAAGGAATGTTGGAAAAGAAAAACACGTAGATATTCTGGGAAAGTACGAAGAAGTGTTGGGATTTTGGTTCCCTGAAAAGTATTGTGATTTTCAGATCCCTTCGTATCGTAAAAAAGTTGTAAAATCACAAGTTTTTTCCAACAGTGAAGATCCTAGAAACTTCTTCATTCATATTACCACACGTTTGACTTCCATAGTTAGAAACATAGTGAATACCTGTCCTTTGAAATAACTCAGAAATCTCAATACAGAAAATCAGAAACGTCACTGTAATTTTAGAATAAAAATGAAGCAAACCTAAACTAACATACCTAAACTAACAAACCCTAACTTGATACAGAGAATCAGAAACGTTACTGTAATTATAAGATAAAAATTAAGCAAACCTAAACTAACTGATCTGAATCGATACAGAAAATCAAAAATGTTACTGTGAATTTAAAATATGAATGAAGCAAACCTAAACCAACAAACCTAGCTCAATAAAGAAAATCAGAAATAATACTTTGATATGCAAGGACCAATGGACATTACAAACCAATGGAAGTACAGCTCTAATTTCCAAAACCCAATCATGGTCATTTACATCATTCTCGCAATCATCAAAAGACTCGTATATATTGTGCGTGAACCAAACTAAACTACTTTCCACAATTTTTCCTTCCCATGATTATGTGGTTCCTGTACAACAACTTCTGAATACCCTCTATTCCTATTGTCAGCGTTCCAATCAATCTATAATCATATAATATTGGCCTATAATTATAAAGTACTTTTTCATAACTGAACAAATTCATTAATAAAAAGACAAACTTGGACCACCGAGGCAATTTGCTCCAATTAAATCTTAAATATATAATGAAACTAGAAGATTTTCGTTTGACGTAATCTTATATCATGAAATATAACCTTTTCAAAAATGTGTCTGTAAAAGCGTCTGCTACAGCTGATGTGATCAACTGACTGATGAAATAAGCAAAAAAATGACCAACACAACGCCGTATAAATTGATTGTAAACGTTTGTTTTAATCAACTTTTAAGCCACTTCTAAGAGAAAATGAACCACTTTCATTCATTTTATTCTGAACAGTATTCAAATTGTGTCCTAACAGATCATAATAATGACTTTTAGAAAAAAAAAAATAATAACAATTTTTAGTCTGTTGTGGTGGCAGCCCAAGGAATGGACCTGATCGACCGAGAAGATTCTGCCTGACAAAGGGGTTTCGTATAGTTCATTTTTCGTTCAGTTTAGTTCATATTCAGTGCATGAACTCGACCAACAACCCTACATGTACCTACCATTTTCTGCCAGGGCTGTTAATTGATGGCGTGAGTTGTGAAAGGCTCCGAATTCATGCCTTTGATGTAAAGTAGCCATACTTTTAGGTTACAGGTCTTTTCGTTCTTTTCCGGAACTAAAACTGTTCAACACGTCGTCTCTCACACGCGAATGACGTCTCTTGTGACGTTTAGGCCCTTGCTGACGATGCAGTAACACCGGGCACCCTTCTCCCCATCCTGAAGGGTGGTATAGTGACTTAGAAGACTGTTAAATCAAGTATGAGACTGTTATACTGAAGCTAGTGTGAGGCACTCGCAATCACAAGCTCTCGACGCTTCACCTAATGACCCGGAGAAAACAACCTAGGCGCGCCCTTCCGCCAAACGAAAGTGCCAGGTTCACAGGCAACTCCGTTCGGCTGGGCCCGGGCCTGGATTGGCCTGCCGGCGGCGTTTGGTCGGGCCTGCAGCCAGACCTTAGGCCTAAGTCGCTTTGCATATTTAAGTAAACTGAAGCTTCGGGGGCGGGGGGGGGTCTGCGGCCCTAAAGATTTGCTCCTTGGACATGAGAAAAGGACTGTAATGGGGCAACACCGTGACTTCACCCCACCCTTCTGCTTTTCTAAAGAATAAACGTAGGAGTACGTGCAGCAGCCCGTAGTGGCTGAGCGTTTGTCAGTGTGCTAAAATTCTCAGAGGTAACGTTTCAAAGAACACAGTAAAGTA